GGCGCCCTGGCGCTCGGGAGGTGGGGGGGAGAGAAGAGGGACGAGGAGGAGGTCTCGGTCGTGTCTCACCTCCCAGCCCCGCGGCCCACGACAGGAGCAGAATTAACACTCTCGGCAACACCATCTTCCGCCCGCCGCCGCCGCCGCCGCCGCCTCCTCACGGGTTAACAGCAGCACATCGATCCGGAGGGAGAAGCTGTGGAAGGGGCTTGGTCCGGAGCCGCCGCGGGAAGCCGGGACCTCCCCCGGCAGGAGAAACGCCGAAGCACCTCCCTCTCGCTCCACTTCAGGGGCCGGCAACGCTCTCCAGCTCCACCAAAACAGGGACCTCCCTCCCCCCCCTCCTCCGTTTCCTTCCTCCCTTCCCCGTTTGCCTTCCCTCCCTCCTCCCGGCCTCTTCTCTTTTCTCCCCCCCCCCTCCCTCCCTGTCTTCCCCGCCGTGTCCCGGATCTCCGCCTCCTTCCTCATCACGTGATACGCCCGCGCCCAATCCGCACGCGAAGCCGCGCCCCTACCTCCCCGCTCCTCCCCCTCCCCCAGGTGCCCCAGGGGCGCGCGCGTGCGCACAGTGTCCAATTCCCGGGCCGCTCGGCCGGCCGCTGCTTCCTGTTCGCCGGCGGAGAGCTGGGATTGGATTTAGGAGGCGGGGTTTGTGGGCGGGGTTTCTCCTAGCCCCACCCTCAGAGCGGGACGGCTTGTTCACGGTGTGAAAGCTCTAGGGTGAGCCTTACAGGTGCTGAGGACTTCACCTAAGCTAAAATGGGAGTGAGAAGGGGAAGAGGGACTGTGTTCCACTCCTTTGCAAGAAACGGAGGTTTTGTTTCTTTTTTTCTGCCTCTCGTGACGCACCACGGCCACCATGTAAACAAAAGCAGTCCCCGCTAGCTTCAATTCTAAACCGCGACAGCCACCAGTGGTGGGGACATAACTGATAGATCCCTCCGGCTGCCACCAGAAAGAAAAGACATCAGGCTTAAGGGATACTTTTCTGACCTCTCCATGCAATTTAATGTCACAGACTAGGCCTTTGTAAAAGCCAGACAGTCTTTAATCTACAGACCAGAAAAATGACCCCATTACCACCACTCTGTCCCAACCCATCTGTGCAGAAAACCTTCGTCTGTCTCTTCTCCAGTTCCTCCAAAGCTCATGTTCATTTGCTCAGCAACTCACGTTGATTCTCTACATTCATGTTTCGTGAGCTAGAACTCATTGATGGTTCTTAATTAGGTTAGTCTTCGCCTATTTGGCATCTGCCCTGAGCTAGCTTAAGGCACTACAAATATTATTACAAACAATAAATTCCTATATTTTGCTCTGTATATCTTACGCAACTTAATATCACTGACATGAGACAAAAGTATGCTTTTAACACACAAAAAAATAAAAATAGTATGTCTTTAATTCTAGGTTTCAGAAATAGATTGTTGTAATTTTATTCCATATTTTAGACTCAAATTCCAAAACCATCATTATTAATAGTGCTCATTCATTTCTAATGAAATATATGGAATTAACAGAGGCAAGAATGCAGTGCTTTTTTCTTTTAAAAAAAATGCAATCTCAGGGCTGGGAAGGTGGCTCAGTGGTAGAGCACTTGCCTTGCATGCATGAGGCCCTGGGTTCGATTCCTCAGCACCACATAAGCAAAAAGCAAAAGACCAGAAGTCATGTTGTGGCTCAAGTGATAGAACACTAGCCTTGAGCTGAAGAGCTGAGGGACAGCACCCAAGCCCAAAGTTCAGGCCCCACGACAGACAAAAAACAAAAAATGCAATCTTAGGAAGTTTTCTGCAGACATTACTTGGATATCACATGATTTGTACTGTTCTACAGAGATGCTGTCAACTTCTAGGTATCTCATGGTTCTCCTGTTGTACAGTATTTTCTATAATTCTAATAATTATGTGTTACACAGAATTTTACATTTAAGTTTTTATAACTAATCCAATGGTGAAGCAGGGTGCTGGTAGTTTGTGTCTATAAACTACCTACTCAGGAGGAGGAGATCTGAGGATCGAGATTCTAAGCCTGTACAGGCAGGAAAGTCTAAGAGACTCTATCTCCAACTAACCAGTAAAGCATGCAGGCTGCAGCCATGGCTCAAGGAGTAGAGCACACCAGCCATGAGCAAAAAAGCAAAGCAAGAGATTGAGGTCCAGTTTGGACACCACAAAAATATCTTTCCTGGACAGGAGTGGTAGCTCAGTAATACAGTGTTTGCTTAGCATGTGTGGTGCCCAGGGTTTGATTCTCAGCATCCGAAATAAATAAGTTCATCCCTTTTCTTTTTCTGGTGATAGGGATCAGATCTAGGGCCTCACACATCAATGTAAGCACTATAACACTGAGCTATACCTCTAGCCCCCATAATTCTTGAAGATAGGTACAAAAAACACATTGTAGGGGTTTTAAAATCAGGACCTCACTATTTAGCAAATATATAACCAGCACATACCTATTGAACTTCAGTATTAAAATAGGCTTTATTCCACTAATTTATTCAAAAACTAGGAACGCCCTTTCACATTCTAAAAATCTTGATATCTCAATCAAATATTGAAGGGCTGCCCCAAAATAAACTCATTTGCCTAGTCTTTTTTGTGGGGCTTGAACTCCTGGCCTGGGCACTGTCTTGGAGCTTTTTTGCCCAAGGCTAGTGCTCTACCACTTTGAGCCACAGCTCTACTTCCAGTGATTAGTCTTCTCTCTTCCTCTTCCCTTGGTCTTACGGTTAACTTCATCGGCCTTTGAGAATGTCAAAAGAATCTTAAACATTTCCCTCTCCATGTCTTTTGTCTCTCCTTTCTGCTTAGAAGTACTAACCTAGCCTGTATAGATTGCAACATGATAGCTCAAAAACCAAATTGTATTTGCAGATATATTTGGCTTGACTTTCAGTTAATTTTCTTAATTATTCATCAAGATAGTCAACATCTGGGAGTTTTCCTGGTACATCCAGGATAGCAATTGTTCTTGAAAACTTCAAGGGTCAAGAAGACCTGGATTCTTGCAATCAGCTGGCAGGAAGTGAGCAGAGACTGCCCTCTTTGGACTGGGCTTGTCTAATGTCACTCAGGCCCATAGAATCCCATTCCATATTGGAATCTGTGACTTCCACTTTATGTACTAGACCAAAAAGTCCTTGGAGTTCATTTTCCTATACTCCTGTGGCTCCAGTAATTTCAATTACATTGTAGTTCAAAATCTGTTTTACTAGTATCCATCATTTGTAATGAATCATGTGTTTGTTACTTTATAGAAACTCTCAGAATATCCAGAGACCAAAGATAGCATACATAAACAGCATTACACAGAATCACAATATATTCAAAAAGTTCTCCATAGGTTATAAACCTTTTATTGGCGATTTCTCATTTCATTTACAAAACCATATAGCAAATCATTTATGCTAATGATTTCCCCTTGCCTTTTTTCTTTGTCCTTTTACCAAAACCAAAACAAAAACAAAAAAAGTAGAAATTGAAATCAAGTAAGTTGATCTCCCTAAGCTTGTAAAATTAGTAAATGACTGAACTAGGTTCTGATTCCAGGTCTTATCTTCTTTCCTGCGGCAGCACACTGCCTCTATGTGAGCATGCTTAATATTCTCTTCTATGCCCCCAAAGAACTACATTGTAAATATTCAATATATAGTTATGGAGGTTGTTATTAGAAGTATAAGCCAAATGGATCATAATTCTTACATTATGACTATTAACAATTACCAACTATACTTCCCAACAATGCAAGTGGTTATTATCTGACACTGTCCTAGATTAGTGTTTTGCAATGGAATGACCAATGGAATACCTGAATTGAAATCATTTAGGATGCTTATTGAAACTGCAGATTCCTGGGCTTTTTTCCAATTTCATTGAATCAGAATTCCTGGGGTGGAGCCCAGAAACAGACATTTTAGAAGGCTTCCCACCGAGTTAATGACACCAAAGTTTGACAACTGCTCTCATAATAAGGGGTATTATGAAATAAAAGACTCAGTTGGGTATATCTGGTTGTTTGTTTATTTGATTCATTTGTTGTTGAAACATGGTACCACTATTTTGGCTACTCTGGCCTCAAACTCTTAACCTCCCAAAAATGTGGTTTAGTGGTAGAGTGCTTGCCTAGCATGCATGAAATCCTAAGGGGATTCAATTTCTCAGCACTACATATGCAAGAAAAGCCAGAAGTGGCACTGTGTCTCAAGTGGTAGAGTGCTAGGCTTGAGCCAGAGAAGCTCAGGGACAGTGTCCAGGCCCTGAGTCCAAGCCCCAGGACTGGAAAAAAATGAACTAAACTAAAATAAAGCTGCAGACTATGGTGCCTGACTTTTGACTGAGTTGTTTTGGAAAGTCAATGTCAACAAATAAACAGAAAAGAAAATGTATTTCCTTGATTATAAAATGCCCTTGATGGTTGGATGTACCATTGATTCAATAATAGCCTGTGAAAAATGGGACTTTCTAATTTTCCCAAAGTAAATATGTTTAGGCTTTCTATCAAGAAATTGGATTTGGAGGTGTGGCTCAAGTAATAGAACACATGCCTAGTAAGCCTGAAGCCCTACATTCAATCTCCTGTACCTTTGGGAAAAGAGATATTAATTGTATATTGCTAAACTTTTGTAGGGGGGGGTTGTTTGTTTTTGTTTTGGTCTGAGACAGGGTGTAAATCACTATGTAGCCAAAGTTTGCTTTGAACTCTCAGTACTCTTGCTTCAGTTTCTTAAGTCCTGGGATTATGAGTGTGCACTACCACAACCAACTACATTATACATTATAAGTGAAAAACAATAAATAAAATTAAACTACCTGAATATTTAACGTGTGACAGAAGATTGATTTAGCATGAAAAAAGAAAGCCAGATTTTAGTGGCTCCTGACTCTAATCCTACCTACTACCCAGGAGGTACAGATCGGAGGATCAGGGCTGAAGGCTAGTCCAGACATAGATGAGATGAAAATAGGAAGAAGTATAAATAGGGAGATTGTGGTCTAGGCCAATCTCAACAAAAAGCCAAATCTTATCTTAAGAGTAACTGGAAAAGGTCTAGAGGCATGGGTTAAGCATTGGAGTGCAAAGCCCTGAGTTTAAACCCTACTGATGCCAAAAACAAACATGGGAGAGACAGAACACAAATGCAATTTGAGATCAGGATGATATAGTCTTTGTCATAACTTGAAAGATAAATCTATCCACACATAGTGCTCAAAGGCACGTGCTTAGATGAAATTGACTAAAAGGCAAACACTTGAAGAATTTGGGGAGAGTAATGTCAACATTGGATGTAGAAGGTAAGTTCAGAAACTGTTTTAACTGTCTTTTGCTGAAGATTATTTACCAAAAATGTAGATAGA